GTAGTACGATAAGCGAACTTTCAAACTAACAGTTTCCATTATACTCATGAATGACTGAACCGCAGCCTGAGAAACCAAACAAGACTCATTAGTAACGCTGCGAAGTCTTCTCGGAGTGACACAAAAAACTGTCCACAAAGTTTTGTGGTCAGGATGCGATGTTGGCGAGAGGGGATTGACTTCATACAAAGGATTCGGTTGAATTTCGTCGGAACGCTGGATAGCTATAGTTTGCTGGCGGTGACCAGAAGGTTGCTGATCAAAAGGTTGCGGTTGCAGTGATACTCAGGAACTATCTTCCAGGAAACGCGAAGGAAAGAGGCGATGGAAGGTTGCCTCACCTTCTGGTATAATCTGAGCCGCCACGAAGACAATGAACGAGGGGGAAGTGGGGTAGTCTTTCCCTTTATGTTCATAACTCTAGGACTTCGCATTCGTGAAGCCTGAGGCTTTATTTGGGCGAAGAAATAGAGTTATGAACATGAGGGAAGAGAGGATCATTGGATTATTTGACGATTACGTAGCTTTTTGCAGCACCTTCTCAGCCGAGAAGAACACTCTACAGCGTTCTGGTTTGACATGGAGAAGTGGCCTATCATGACATACCGAAGCCAAAGACCTCCTCGAGAAAGTATTGTTAGGAACGGAGAAAGAATGCTGAAGTTGGAAGCTGTTCAGGCGGAAAAGGAAGACTACGATTTTTAACTGACCTTCCAATTCCTTCAGTTTACGTGGAGCACCACAGTGAAGGTCATCCAATACAGTAAAAAAAAACGATGGACAAGAGGTGTGAATAGTCAGGAATTGAGGCAACATGCTTTTGGAGCGATAACGTCTAAAGAGTTCACGGCTGGAAAAAGCGCACATGAGCTGGCACAGTATGATAGCTCTAAGAGGTTTGAACTTCCCCACGACCAAGGAAGGCTCGCTCAATTAGCAGTAGCATACAAGGTACCAAATCTTTTGATGAAAAGAACGATACTCAGGAGATGGTAATTCGTCTTCCAAAAAGACAAGGCAGGGTACCGAGCTATTCAAGAGGGTGGACGAGTTGAGGTCAAACGTAAGTGAAGAGAACACTACGTGGTTGCTGAACACTGGGACTGATGAGATAGTAAATTCGAGGAAAATTTCAGAATTAGCACCACTTTGGAAGCGCGCAAAAGGAGTACCAGCTTTCTGAAATCTTAGATTGATTGCCGATGGCAACGTGAATCAACTAAGACTCGAATAAAACGACATGAATGAATGTAGAGGTATCATGTGGTGCCCATCTGCGATCGACGACTCACGTGGAAGCTCAAAGTCATATTATTGCCTACGATGCTCTAAGGCAGCGGGGTGTCTCATGTGTTTATGTTGATGTTGCCTTTCATGTGCTTCGCCTTGAGGTATTAAGGCGAAACACATAAAAAGCAACATCTCTCCTATGTCTCTCCGAAGTCGAAATCAGCCTAGGGTTAGAGGCAGCTGGCCGGAACGGAATCGAGACTGTCATAGGTGTCATGCAAACTGACCCTGTTCTTGAAATGTGAAACTAACTGTGGGTGCTGCGAAGACCACGAAGTCACCCTGTCAGCGAAGCGATGAAATTTGAAGTTTGAGGGTTCAACCAAAAATAGGCTAAATGCAGGTTGTGGCTTGTAATTTTGGGAGGACCTTGTCCGAATCAAAGGGATGGCAGAAGATACTGCAGATAGGGTGAAATAGTAACGACCAACGAGAACAGCAAAACCCCTGGGATAGTGCAGCAAGTCCCTATAATGAAATGACTAATGCCGCAGAGATTTCAACTTTTGCCCTTCCATTAAGGAGGCGCAAGCCAGATAGCTGTTATTATCTTTTTTTCCTGCTTTAACAAAAACACAATTCTCTTTTGCAGAGACGATGTCGTTGCTGAGAGTTTTTGTGCTAGCTCTACTTACAGAAATACCTATGACACTGGCTGGTAAGATCAACCACTTCATTTGCTTAAAAAAACTTTGCATAATTCACATGCAGTATAATTGCAGAACAGTAGAGGTATTCGTTTTCAAATTTAGTACCGCAGCTCAAAAAATTACTATAATCTTATAGCACAGTCTTATTTAACTGTAAACGCCCTCTAATTCATGACAAAAACCTTCTTCCTTCTTGATTGTCAGGGTTTCTGACATGGCAGACTTAGCTACCCGCTTACTCTAGGCGTGATCGCTATCCGCAACTGTCCGGCCTCCCACAGAATTCCCTTAGTTTTGGCAAAATGTAGACGAAAGGTACGCGAGTGAGAGTTGATCGTTGGAAAGAACTTGCCTTTCAACAGAATGGTTGTCGAAGGCAATGGCAATGGCAATGCTCCGAAATTTGGATTTTTTGAATACGATTTCATGAGCTGTGGAAATGAAAACGCTGGTTTTCACATACATAAATTCGCATCTGAATTCCATCATCACGACTTTTTAGTTACAACAGTAACGAGAAAGGAGGATAGGGGAACCTTGTGGTGAGTGATGTAGGATGAGACAGGAACGCCCGGGTGACAGGATCTGATAATGTGCTGACAACGATGTTAGATGTTAGACCTGTTAAGACCTTTTCACGTGGCAAACAAAGAGAGAATCCTTGGCACTTGATAATGTTAAAGTGCCGGAGCGCATATACAGGGTGGGCTAAAATTATGATTACAGCACGCACAGACGCTCATACTTATTTTTTCAGAGTTTATAATATTTATTTGGTTTCTTGCGTTTCCCATTGATGCTGAAGTTTGGCAGATTTCAAAAATAATGAAGGCGTCACTACCTCGTGAAGCAATCACCACTTTGCATTTACGAGTACTTTTGGCCGGGTACATCTCCAGACTCACTGTAACAGATCAGCTGGTATATCCGACTATTGGACACTTCAAAGAGTTGGAAACAACTGCAAATCGGAGGGGTAAACACAGGGACTTGTTTACCCTTGCAAAATCGTGAAAAATCATCTACGTAACAAGGCCTCAATACGATCATGAAGTGGTTTTCCGATGGAGCAGGCTAAAGAAGAGAAAGGTTAGCTCATAAGAGCTGGTCCTCCAAAGAAATCGTCATAGGGAATGCCTTTTCAACGACGAAAAGATATTCATGGTGAAAAGGTGCTCCCTAAGCGGAGCGACAGGATTTATATGAAGCTGAAAGAAATGGAAAAGACGCAGTGAGGCTCCCCAACTTTTTAAGGTGGACTTTGCGAGCATCACCGCCGAGGGAGAGGCACTGATTAATTTTACAAATTAAGGAGTGAAAGTGGATTCAGAAACCTTCCTGATCTCGTCATGCACCATAGGACACTTTGATTTCGAACCGGGCATATTGCCAAGATTAAGCTCCCGATCCCAGATCAGTAATTATTAGGTTGAGTCACAACTCCTCGGACAAAGCGATAGTGATGATTTCTAGAGATCATAACTCGGGAAAGAGGAGATGAAAATGGAAGAGGCATCGCTAGATAGAGTATAAAAAGCTCTTCCAAATACATATTAAAGAGTACACCTGACTATCGCCTGCGCCTGAGCGTGAGGAGAGAAGGTGCCATGTCGGCGCGAAAATCCATGTCATACTGCTACAAAGCATGAGGCACCCATCGACCGAGCTTTCGCACCTTGCCGATTGACCTTAATCCACCAATAGTTGTGGGCCGAATCCCCAAGGGTGACTGCCAGCTCACGAGCAGTTTGATCCGGATCGGCTTCCCCCTGGCTCCGCAGCACCTCCAGATCCAACTCCATTGAGCGTCCCGGACGGTCTTCATTTTCGATGGAATGGTCGTCTTTGAGTGCAACTTGTAAATTGTGCATCTAGCAGGAGCACCCTTCTTGTAAACTTCCTTAATACGTCTACCGATCTCGGCGGGTTCTTGGCCAGATAAAAAAAGAAATAGGATGGTGTTGCGGAGGTGGAGTTGCGATGGCTTGAAATTATCTGGCATGGTTGCAGGAAAGGAAACAGTTAGGTGTGTTCGTTGGCATGTATTTTGAAGAGCTTTTCATACTCTATCTAACAGTGCCACGCGCGTCCATTTTCGTCTCCTCTTTCCCGAGTTACGATCTCCAGAAGTCATCGCCTTCATTTTGTCTGAGGACTTATGACTCAACCTAACAGTATTCAGCTTGAAATTTCGTATAGCGAGTCGCCCGATTTCATAACCTGCGATCAATGGCTACTCGGAAGCCCTGACCTAAAGTCCATGGATTTCTAACTATGGTTAATCATGGGAGTAGAAGCATGCGCTAGCCTAAACAAGAATTGAAAAAATCTCGAAAATGCCTCGCAAAAAGCCGGAGACAACTCGTTTGTACTAGCTGCGTGCCACTGTTGACTCCATTTATCGTCGTCTTCGGACTTCAGTGAAAGTAAAAGGCAACAGATTTTGGCTAAAGTGTACTATTTTAGTGAGATATTAGTGATAAGCACTTATTCTTGAACTTGGCTAGTTTTATTAGCTTTCTATTCATTTATGAGGATGTCATATTTGTGTAATCATAATTTTGGCCAACCCTGTAGTTGTAGGCAGAAAGTGCTGAAGATAACAAAATAATGTTCAGTCCTCACAGCCTCATTTGTCGTTGCTCCGAACTGAACTTTTAGGCTAAGAAAGAGAATAATCATTTTACTATTCCGGTATTATTTGCAACAAAGTTTAACAGTGGCATCAATCTGTCGTTTTTATTATTGTTGCCAACTACGTAGGTAAACAACCTTGGTAGGTAACATCTTGGTAGGTACTCTACTGTAATGTGTACGAGCAACACACGCATTCAAATCGCCGTTGCGACGCTGAACGAAGGTCGAGTGCGGGGCACATCCCTCAGACGGGATTGGCTGAAACCCGTAAACTTTACCCTTAATTCTTCATCCAAAGCTGAAGTTAACGAATAGTCCATTCGTAGAATGTGAACCTTATTTAGAGTTTTGACTAAGGAAAAATAAAAATAAGCAAAAAAGAAGTGCGAGACAGTATAATATCCTATTTCCAGACACATCATTCGAATTATTCTGTGAAAGACCGCCAAATTTTGGAAAAGGAACGTATGATGTGAGCTCATATTGATTTTCTATCAATTAACAAAATATTAGCTATAATTTTGATGCTCTATGTTACGATTTCATTGCCGTTCAGTGAAGCATGCGTTTTCACTACTTCAAACGTAACTTCCGCGAAATTCAACTTTTTTGAGACACTTCAATAGTGAACCTAAGCAACCTAAACACTTAGTAACATAATACAGTTGTAACAGCTCAATATCACTCATCCAACCAAAACTGGTTGCTCTACTGTCAAGTTGCTCGCCGGCAAACATCCCATGATCTATAACTGTTGGATTATTTTAATAGAAATTTAGAGTGACTCCAGCAGTTTTGTGTCATATCATGCAACTAGTACATTAGGTTATGTCAAGGCGTTCGAAAATCATCAGCTAGCGACAAGATCGTTCAGAGCTTCCAAGAAGGCTCATCATCAGTATTGGATAGTCAAGAGGTCATTCAGATGCGTACAAATGGTTCGGAAGAAATACAAAATCTCAGAATCGGCTGAAGCCAAATGCGCTCAGCAGCACGAATAACCTTCCGTCCTGCTGACGGAAACATTGCGAAAGAACCCAAGAATGATCCACTTCTCACTGCAGCCGTAATTCTTCGCCAATTTCAACTCTGAAAGGGACAAACTCGTAAGTGAACAAGTGCGACGCTGTCTGAGGGAGGACGGTATACTCGGATGTTTTCCTTCAAGGAAACCCTAATTCTGCCAATGGCAGCAAAACATGTCTCGAGGGTTTATGCGCACAAGAGCTCAACCTTTCAGCAGTGGCGAAATGTAATCTTGAAAGATGAACCAAAATTTCTCTGTCTGTGGGGTATGGAATCGGCTTGAGGTATGGAATCGGCTTGGGTAAGTGACGTCGTGTCGGTACCGGATACAATCAAGGCATCAGCTGCTGACCGTCACAAAAGTAATGTAGCTCTGATATTTTTTCACGGAAGCCTCTATAGCAAAGTGCTTGATCCACTTCACACGATCGAGGGTAAGATGGATAACAAGATGTACGTCAACATCACAAAGACTTTGTTCACAGTACTACCCACAGTGATTTCATTTTCGTACAGGGCAAAGAAACACTAATCGCACAACTCACCAAGTGGTTCCGTGACAGCAAGATCCCTCGGTTGCCGTGGAGTCGCAGTTTTCCGATTCGAATCCCATCGAACATCTGCAGGATAAGCTTGGACGGAGGAGACCGGCAAGCTCATCGAGACCATGTCACGCCGACGTCAAGCTGCCGTTAGATGAAGCCAAATTACAGCAAACTGCCTTTGAAGCTCTACAGATGAGCTTGAGTTTGTTTCCAACAAGTAGTCTCCTTCCACGTTACATTGGCCTTGATGCGACCTTGAGCTCAACGAGGTGCCTTTGCTGAAGAATGGTGCTTTGACATAGGCACATATTCTGACTCAAGTAAAACATTGCGGTGAAAACTTTGACGTTTTTCAGATGCTACTAGTACAGGATACCCTGCTACATTTCCTTTGTATGCCTTCCCATAGTAGATCCATTTGCATAGTGTGAGAAAGGTAAAGTTTGCTATCTGTACCCAGTAAGAACAATCGGTGTTCAGTGGGAAAAAAGAGAAAAGGCTCCCTTTCGTCCACCCGCGACTGCAGCTCACATATGGACTACATAGCCCACCATGACAGTATTTTGAATTGAAAGTTTGAGATTTTTTATTCCATCTGAATTTCCAAATGGCTGGTGATCGATGATGGTATGTAGAATTTGAATTTGAGTGGGCTACTGATCGATTCTGATGAGACACAGGCATGAGATGAAATTGATGCAGCTTATGCGCTTCTTTCGGCATCAGGAACAGAAACCGATACCAGTAGCTCAGAGTATGAAGGCAGGATCGATTCTTGACCAAGTAGGACTGGAGAATACGATAGATTCACTTTCGATGAGGACTACTGCGTACACGATGATTTTCTGTTGATTTCTACGAAGAACGATGCCAGCTCTGGAAGAAACGTAAAATCAGTGGTAGTTAACTACAATACTGTGAAAGGTTTTCTATAGATCAATCTGACCGAGTCGCCTCGTATACTCCGTTTGTAAGGAAGTTAGGCAAATGGTAGAAAAGGATTTGCTCTCATTTGATAACTCAAACCACCATTGTCCATGCAGGAAGCTGTGCAAGGACATAACACGACAAATGAAAATCAACAATTTGAGAAAAATATTGTCGAGTCTCTGATGACAGCTGGTGTTTCTTTTTCTGTTTCTAGTCCGTCAACGGGGCATAATTCGAAGGAAGTTAAAGGTTCTAAAGTAAAACGAGAAGAAGATGCTCAGAGTGTCACTCAAATTTTAGCCGAACACACGGGGGTATATACGCTTTCTGGGGCCACGCAGTACGTAGTTTCACTCAGGCCTGATTGAAGGTGCTGAGAATAAAGATTGTTAAGAAGTGGAGGTATAGATAGGTGAAACGGAAACTATAGCTGTGGCCCACATGTGGGACTACATTGCCGTCAATGGGTTAAGTATTAATAGACAAAATGCGATCGTGGATCTAGATGAGCACCACCGAACTCAGAGAGAAAATGAATTTTCAAACAGAAGGCGTTAGATCGTGATTGCAGTAAAACCTATGCCACACGAAATCTATTGAATGGTAAACAAAAAGTTTGTTGTGCTCGATCATACAATGTCATTTGAAATCAATAGATTCAGTAATGTTCATTATGCTCACTTTCTCAGCGATGAGATATTGTCAATCATCCTATCTTTTCTCATTTAATCAGCCGAAGTAAATTTTCAGAAAGTTTGATATGTTCAGAAAAAGGCAAGCACGTGCACTATAGAGTACAATTTCTACACGGACAACGTACTGGATGCTACCGATTTTTGCGAAGCGCAGCATCCGTACAGCCTCAAGGATAAAAATCGAAAAGGCCAAAAAACTATATGCGTTATAAGTAGGTTTTCCAATTCAAGTTGCACCATCCGGCTAAGATCGGACGCTACTCTTTTTCGTGTGAAAATAGTCTGTTGCCTTCAATCCCTCCAATTTTGATCAAAGATCGGCCGGTGTGCATCCTCGAACGAGTGTAATAGGCTATATAGAGGCTGCACCGATCACAAGGGAACTTGTTATGACCCATAACAACAGTGAAAGACAATTCCGTACAGTCCTGGCTTAAAGTAGTCAGCTTTTTGTGCAATTCCAAAAACTGAAATCTCGTCCGAATACCCCTTCCATGTTATTTCCGTCACGGCAACCTCGTCCAACCTCGATTATCCCTACTTTTGATGAGCCATATTTCTCTTGAAATTGTCGAATTCCCTCGCTTTCTTCGCTATCGACGATCTATTCAAAATCTATACTTCCGCTTTTCGAATANAACTATATGCGTTATAAGTAGGTTTTCCAATTCAAGTTGCACCACCCGGCTAAGATCGGACGCTACTCTTTTTCGTGTGAAAATAGTCTGTGATATCCCTCCAATTTTGATCAAAGATCGGCCGGTGTGTATCCTCGAACGATTGTAATAGGCATTATAGAGGCTGCACCGATCACAAGGGAACTTGTTATGACCCATAACAACAGTGAAAGACAATTCCGTACAGTCCTGGCTTAAAGTAGTCAGCTTTTTGTGCAATTCCAAAAACTGAAATCTCGTCCGAATACCCCTTCCATGTTATTTCCGTCACGGCAATCTCGTCCAACCTCGATTATCCCTACTTTTGATGAGCCATATTTCTCCTGAAATTGTCGAATTCCCTCGCTTTCTTCACTATCGACGATCTATTCAAAATCTATACTTCCGCTTTTCGAATAAAATGGGTACCTCAAAGTTATCGTGGATTGTGCCTTTAAGAGGAAATCAGGACAAATTGGTTTCTAATCTTTCTGAGTGATAGATCTTCATCAATCATCAATTACAGCTAACGATTTGGAATGCAAAGTGAGTAGCGAGATTCTGATTGGCGACAAGTGTTTCTCATTATCGTCCGAGTTATCTTATGCTGAAGCTGAAGAAGGGTGTAGAAGTCTTGGACCCTTAATTTCAATTCACAAAGTCACCAGTTCCTACGAGCAGAAATGGATTGCAGGTAAGTATTCCTTACACAAGTTTAACTCTGCCCTTTGATTGTACGGAAAGATTCATGGAAGATTTTATGAGGGTTCCCTTGTGAGAGGATTCCCTTGTGAGGGCGCTCCCCACCCATAGACGCATAGTATTCATGTCCGGCAATTTGGCTGGTCGGGCTGTCCTGCCATATTCAATACACGTACCTCTCTACGAGTTGAAGTCGAAAAGTTGAAAGTGGGCTTCTACATGGTCAACCGATTGCAATATTACGAAATCTCTTGATACGTTCTGCACATAGAGAAGGACGTGTTCTTTAATGGTTCTTTTATGGAGGCTTCCAGAAGACCTCGGGAGTGATCTGGACTTTTCTTCTTCACCCTAGCGTTAAACCTGCACCGTCGCAGGCCCGCTGTTCTCGTCAGCTATCTCCACTTCTTTTTATCTATGACATCTTCTGCCGTTAACATAGTTTTGGCGAGTTCCCTCCCGATCAGTCCGGCTACGTCTTCTTTGGGGCTGCTTGTGGTAGCTCACCTTGAACCCCGAACTCCATTGCCTTCCTTACCTGATATTTATGTGGTCTTTTCAGTACCCGGGAGTAATCTGGGTATTTTACAAATTTCGGCGGTTACCTCCCTCACAACCTGATATTACAATAGTATTTTTGATGGCATTATAGTTGACAGTAGCATGGCTCTCTTGAACGTTATGAAAAAAAACGGCGATTGAAATTTGTATGTTCAGCATTTTATTCGGATTATGAAATGTTATGGGTGGGAAACAACAAGAAAGAGCTCAAGTCATTAGCCCTGGCTAGACTTGAAGGTACCATTTTATAACATATTTTTATCAAAACATTTCTAAACAAATATATCCGTTACGAGATGGCTATCATCCACCCAGATAAGCTCCTAAGCTACAAAAACAGAAGGAGCAGTTCAGCTGTGATTTTGTTTAGGTAGATCTCTGAGCACGAAGCAGGGACGACCTGTAAACAAGAAGTCTGATAAATATGCCATTTTAACCAGAAAAGGTTCTCTCGCACGTCTCAAAGGTGGAGTCCTTGCCCCCGTGACGTCAGACACGAAACTTCCAGTTTTGTGCACGCAGCCAGCTGTGCCAAGACAAGAATGTATGTCCATTTGATTTCACTGTAAACGCCAACCTCACCAATAGAAGGTAGTTGAGCCGATTCAAGCAGGGTTGATGCAATGACAGGTGGCGCACTACCACACACGCATGGTCACGAGTTCAAATCCTGCATTGATCTGATACGCCTAGGCAAAAAGAGCCTCCCATCTTCATAAGTGCCTTAAGGGCACAGTTCACGATAACTTTGGGTAATCCAGATTATGGCGAAAAATGGAGGATAAGTTGGAAATAGTGCGATGAAGGTAAAGAAAAATTGTGATTTGGTCTTTCCAGGGTGAAAAAGGTTTCGAAAGAAGAGAGAAAGGGAAAGAATCAGAAAGGGGGTTGCTGAGAATGAGATCAGAATAATGGAGAAGAATGGGACGTTCGGACGAGCTATACAATGCGTCATTGGCTGCTTTCATAGTCCGCCGGCCGGCCGGCCTGCGTGCCGACGTGCCACGAGGCAGTGCTAGGGAGGAGGAGGGCGGCAGACGGTCGGTCAGCCCCTCAATGGGCGGTAAAGAAAGAGAGATAAGATCAAAAACCATTTGTACCAGCCCCTGGTTGTTTGGCTTTTGATCTTGTTCTCCTTTGTTTTCATCCCTTCGACCGACCGTCTGCCGCCCTCCTCCCCCCTAGCACTGCCTCGTGGCACGCTGGCCGGTCGGCGGACTGTGAAAGCAGCCATTGCGTACGTGTGGGTCCTGGTACGAATACCTGACTACAGTAAACAAGAATATCCTTCAAAATTCAATAGCTCATAAGCATTAGCTAGCAAAAAACCCTAGTTACAGCAAAAATAGCGCAGCTCTTTGAGCCTATTGTGGTAAAAAATTAGAATAAGTCAGAATATTTGGAAGCCGACGACGTCTTATCTGTTACCCCTGGGGGCCAAGGGGTTTTCCTAGGGGGAAAACTCAGAACCGAGAATTTTATCGTGAACTGTGCCTTCAATCCCCCACTACAAGCTGTTGTATAGGACACGTGCGCATTCACACCGTCACTGCGATCCTGAATGGAAGTCAATTGTGTGGGCACATCCTTTAGACGGGATTGATCAACGTTCCAAGATTTTATCTCTCCATATCTGTGTGACCACTTGAAAGACATGATAAATGCTGTTACCGATGGTAGAAAATGCTCTTCATAATTGGCTAGACAGAAGTGGGTGGTATTCGCGAGAATACTTCCATAAAATGGTTCGAAAATTTATGCAAATCTACTTGTAAAACTGTTTAACCCCGGTGAGTACAAATTGAGTTCCTTAGGTTGTTGCTTTTGTCTTCACGTAAAAAACTTCTTGCTAATTTTTTAGATTTTGCATCTCTGATAGAGCAAATGAGAACATTTGGCTACAAAGTGACAGAGGCCATTGATCGATCGGGCAGGAAGCGAGCTTTCACTGTAATCAGGGGCCTACACTTATTCACGATTGACAGCCGTTTTGACGCAGGAACGAAGAAACTTCACGAGGCTTGCGCGGTAATCAGTTCTGAGACTTTGAGTACGGTAGAATATACATTCTATTCGATTTCATCACGGCGTTCTGCTGAAATCGTTTTTTGGCAATCAAAATAGCCTATCATGAAGAGAAACGTCGTAATCCTCAGTCCGAACAATGACATGAAAAGATCACTCAGAAGCTGATCGGTCTGCCAGCCAAGATATCTGTATTTATACTGTGATCATTGGAAATCGCGCGACTCGGGCAATACGAGTCCACACATACCCCACGCAAGAATAAGTAGGAACGTGTGTGGTTGCAATATATGTACATGCATTAGTCTAGCACGGCTTCAGTGCTAATCAGAATTGGTGATTGCATGCTGCTTTTGTGATCTTCGCAGGTATCACTAGTTGGGGGTTCAATGAATACGGTGAAATAATAATACTAATGGTAACTATTTGATATCATTTTCTTTCTGGGGGTACTTTTTCCTGGAAATCACTTCTCCCTGCCGCACCGGATCGTGCTCAGTCCGCGCTATGAAGGGAAAAGTTTGAGCTAATAGTAAGAGGACAAGGTATCCGCCGTGAAAGCATTACAGCTCGCGGTGGGACCTTGTGGTTNTTCAATGAATACGGTGAAATAATAATACTAATGGTAACTATTTGATATCATTTTCTTCCTGGGGGTACTTTTTCCTGGAAATCACTTCTCCCTGCAGCACCGGATCGTGCTCAGTCCGCGCTACGGGAAAAGTTTGAGCTAATAGTAAGAGGACAAGGTATCCGCCGTGAAAGCATTACAGCTCGCGGTGGGACCTTGTGGTTTAGGGCCACAGTGGAAAGAGGCCCACAATCACATAAGCATGCTGTATTGAACACCAAATCGGGATGCACCCAGACTAACCAAGCCTTCCAGCTTTCGACTAGTTGGTACCAGACCTGTGGGAGAACGAAATCCCTGACTCTCGTATAGTTTATATTCGCATTCGGAATCGATTCTGAAGACATGTTTCGAATGTCGAATTGAAAGAGGAAGTTAAATATAGGTTGCATTCTTAAATTGGTATTGCTCAAAGCTAGAGCCTTTATCCTTTGAATTATTTTTGTTCATTTCCATCCCTTTCTTAGGAACGGAGACTTTGACGCAGATTCAGACTGAAGGCACAACCAATCCAGGTTATAGATACAAAAACACCGCTCAAAAATATGAAACTACAAAATATGAAATGTAAATCAAAAAAAAAATAAAATATAGAAATGTAATAACAAGTACGCATAAAATTTCAAATGTTGATGTGTTTGTGTATAATATTTTTAAGGCATTCCCAAATGGATATGCAGCGACTCCATATGACTTCAAAGACATAAAGGATTTCAAGAGAGTCCTAAAAGAGGTTTGAATCTTTGCATTCGTTCATAATTTTTGAACCGTGGTCAATCAAAACACAGGCATGCAATAATCTACAGGCAATTCACTATCGAAAAGAAGTGATTGAAAGTACTTTTTTCTCGATTGAAACTTCACGACATTAAAATAATTTTTATGGAAAAGTAATGCCTTGAAAATGCATAGTTCCTAATAGGAATGCTGCTTTTATTAGGTTGAATCATAAGTCCTCGGGCAAAGTAATTGTGATGACTGCTAGAGATCATAACTCAAGAAAGAGGTGACGAAAATTGACATACGTGGCATCGATAGCGTATATATTCACTCGGAAGAGCTCTTTCTCCTCTACACTACTGTNATAAGTCCTCGGGCAAAGTAATTGTGATGACTGCTAGAGATCATAACTCAAGAAAGAGGTGACGAAAATGGACATACGTGGCATCGTTAGATAGAGTATAGACAGCTGTTCCAAATATTGGATTGTAAAATACGTTCGTAGGATTTTTCGTTAGAGTTATTTTACAATGACTTGTTTAGTTTTTTAGCAAAGCGTATATATTCACTCGGAAGAGCTCTTTCTCCTCTACACTACTGTCTTACTTGTTTGCGGATGATTTAGTTGTTCGTTTTTTTCTGATTCAGAAATAGATTATCCAGGAGGAAAAAAAAATCAGCATTTTCGACATCTGCTGCTTTTCTTTGCTTTTCATCAAGGTCAAAAAGGTAATCGGGACATATGCAGTTTGTACGGGGAACATGTCTCAGGTGTGTCTACTGCACAAAAATGGTTCGCAAAGTTCAGAAAGCTCAGATACTCGCCGTCGAATTCTGCAGGTCGTCCGCTTCGAGGCGTGTCTATAAGGTCAAAGTCGCCATTTTCAAACTTTGCGAACCATTTTTGTGCAGTAGACACGCCTGAGACACCTCCCCCGTACACACTGCATATGTAACGAGCGGCTTCGATTGCTTTTTGACCTCGATTAAAAGCAAAGAAAAGAAGAAAAGCTGATGTCTAAAATGCCGATTTCTTCCTCCTGGATATTCCTATTCTAAGCCAATAAAAAGACGAAAATCAGGTTGTCCGAAAAAACAAATAAAGCAGTTTTATAGGGGAGAAAGAGCTCCTTCGAATGAATGTATACACTTTGCTGAGAAAGAAATTAAATCGTTGCAAAATATCTCTAACGCAGAACTCTACAAACTTAGGTTACAGCCCAATACATACTAAAAAACACACCTAACTGTTTCCTTTCCTGCAACCATGTCCCATGATTCAAGCCGTCGCAACTCCACCTCCGCGGCACCATCCTATTTCTTTTTTTTATCTGGCTAAGAACCCGATCGATAGACGTATGAAGGAAGTTTACAAGAATGTTGCTCCTGCTAGATGTACAATTCGCAAGTGGCACTCGAAGTTCGCGTCGGACGACTATTCCATTGAAGATGAAGATCGTCCGGAACGCTCAATGGACTTGGATTTGGGCGTTCTGCAGAGCCAGGTGGAAGCCGCCCGTACCAAAGTACTCGTGAACTGGAAGTGACTCTTGGGGAGTCAGTCCACTGCTATTCGTGGATTAAAGTAAATCGGCAAGGTGCGAAAGCTTGGTCGATGGGTGCCCTTTGCTTTGAAGCAGTAACATAGACTGCCGCGCCGTCATGGCACTTTCTCTCCTCAAGCGCAGGAAACGGTCAGGTGCATTCGTGGTAGGTATCTAAAAAACCTTTTTATGTTCTATCTAACGATAGATAAGTAGAAAATCGGTCAGGTGCATTCGTAGTTTGTATTTAAAAGGCTTTTTATGTTCAATCTAACGATAGATAAATAGAAAATATCGTAGAAAAAGATTTATTAAAATACCTTTTATTTTTTTCATTGTGCTGTATCAACATAATATGCCATCATATTATGTTGATACAGCACAATGTAAAAAGCATATTGTATGGCGTTGTGCGGAAAGTATTTGCTGAAAACTTCACGATATCCAAATATTTTCCGGGATTCTCTCGGAACATTTACAACCATAAATCTACACATACAAAATGGCGAGGACGGATCTGAAAAGCACGGGCCAGATAGTATAGCTCTCAGAAACCCTTCTCTTCATCTTAGCAAACACTTTCTTATTATATATTATAATGGCGACACCATAGTCTTGATGTTGTCGACGGTGAAGTATCAAGGTCCTCCTTCAAATCGATGAACACCCTCGCGATTCTTCAATGAATCTCNCTCTGTGGATGTGATCGATTGTACTTAACCCCCTCTGAAACCCTGCTTACTCGCATGACTGTCCTTCATCTAACGTTCACTTGGAGATTATATAACCTATTTCACATGAATCCGCTCCAGGTGACTCCCACGTCCATCGTAACCGAGAGGGCTCAGAAGTGCGATTTACCGGGGTCTTCATAATAAACTCGAATGGCCTTTCGCTTTTTCCATTCCGTTCCGTAATTGTCGATTTGTGGCTCTTGGCATCGAAATACCTGACCTCGAAGGAGGTGAACCTCTCTGTGACGATTTTGAAACGCTTTCGATTTTTTCGTCGCAGATCGACGTTGGCGCGTAGGTGGCGAAGTGTCATGGCTTTAGTTGGACCCTATCCTCTCGATCGGACATTATTAGATCGGTTTACAAAGCCCCCGTACCCATTTTCAACTTGCGTGGTCCCATGTGGGAGGTGTGACCTCCTCAAAGGCCTTTAAAACACGAAATTATCCTTGTTTGGCATACGGTGGATACAGTTGTCATAGAGTGGTTACAATCTCTGAGTTCTGACTACTTCCCATGTGGGCCATTTTCAAATCTGACAAAGTCGCACGGTAGGGTTCCCGTGTCCCCCTTCGCCGTGGTATGCGAGGCGTACTCGACGCGGCCGATCAGACTTTATTAAGTGGTCACTCTACCTAACCACTGCAAGAACAACAATGACATATATTAACAGACCGCCGGTCTTACATAGGCGCTAAAAGGGGCGGGGCCGCTGAGGTGCTGTGATTGGTCCATTGTGGATCTACCTCGTGACGTCATCAATGGTCGGCGTCTTCATTTATCGATTGGCGGCGGCGTCCTCCACTTCTGGATGATGGAATCGGAGAACAAGAAAAACCTCATTAACGCAATTTAATACAGAGCAACACACTCAAACAACTATGACCATAACAACAACATATACATTACAAAACGTTAATCGAAGGACTGCATTTCAGAAGAAACCAATTTGATCGTGATTTGTGCCNTTGAACAACGTTCCCTACTCCACGCCGCGATATCTATCACTGACGAATCTCCAATTCCATTTAGGAGCCCATTACTAGGATTCGTTGCTAGGAATCGGTTCAAGGTGTCAAATATGCAAACTGCTTTAGAACTACTGCATCAGCCCAAAATTCTAAGTATAATAAACTTGTTGTGTGAATAACCAGGGAAAAAATAAACTGCATAATTCACGAAACATTCTTTGGAAGTGTTTTCAAGGCTGAGGTCAATATCGTCGCTGTGCCTGGAAGGAAAAAACTGGAATTTGGTAAAGAAAATCTTCCGGACTGTACGAAAGATCCGTATTACCGGCAAGCACGAAGACAGTTTGTTTTCGACGTCATGACAGCTACTAATAAGACTATTGAAAAGGTAAGCAAAGTCAACAACCTACTCTACAACTTCAAAACTTATAGATCGTAATAAACAATTGGAAAAATGGTGGAATGAATGACTGTAGTTTTGTTCAGTATTTAGTCAGAAGTAAATATCAAGGGTTTTGAGATCAGATTGAGAGCACTACGAACGCTTCACAGTTTTCGCACTGTCACAAAATGACGAGCCTTACAGCAAGGGTCTCATCGCTGTCCAGCAGTTTTTATTGCCTTTCAAGTTCTTCTCTGAATAGCTGGGAAACTTAAGGTAGCCGAAACTAGCCGAAGCGGAAAAGTAGCTTTGATTAACTGTGAACTAGATGCGTAAGTGTTTTCTATAACTATTGCCATTGTTAAGTTTTGTATAGCCACTTCCGGCTTGGCACTACAGTTTGGAAGTAGATACCTGGCTGTTCTCGACATAATAAGAGGAAAAAATTGTCGCCGTTTTATTTTGCATGCACCCACCTTGGAACAGAGCTGTTACTCAGTTCATCAGAATGCCCCTCCCCATTGTTCGAACTAACTATGTTACAGAGGTTTCGAAAGATCTTTTCATTTAGGTTACAGAGGTTTCGAAAGATCTTTTCATTTAGTGCAAGTTAAATCAAAGTTTCTTTCAGACTGCAGGACACAATGATTTTTGGGCGGATGGATTTCCCACGAGAACTTGCGCCGACATGCCTCGTGTGGCATTGGGCTACACCCAAAATGGTCTCGTTGATGTTCCCAATATTGCTCGTCTCTTTGTAGCGTGCACTTTTGGTCGGTACTTTTCGATATGGTACAAAAATTTTCGGGTAATGTAATCGGACAGTACAGGGTTGAGTTGCACTCTGAAAGAGGGCCACACATTGAAGTACCTTTTTTTGTGGAGACCAGTCAGGATCATTGGGTTTTATTCAGATTAGTACTCAAATTTCGGAGTCTGTGATCCAATCGTGAGGAAAAAGTGCCCTCGAACTGTGGCATTCCCTTAGTGGTGAAGGAATTATGTAAAAGTAGCATGGGGGGTTACAGGACCGCTGTCAAACGAGATTCTTTTTCTGAACGATCTGATGATGAAGCAACCTTTGTGTGCTGTGTGCACCAGCTAAGCCAAATGGAGGCATGTCCGTCCCTTCGATGTGCTCCGTCATTAATGATGGACACTGAAATCACAGGAATTGTGAGCGGAATTGCAGTAATTCTCGGCATTTGCGAGAACACCTTGAAGTCGCTCACTTCGCTTCTCAGCGGGGATAGGGAAATATGAAATGGAAGAAATTCCAAGGTGAACAGATGTGTCTGGTTAGAAGTGGGTGGTCAGAGGCAAAGCACAAAAAATNAGCAACCTTTGTGTGCTGTGTGCACCAGCTAAGCCAGTTGGAGGCATGTCCGTCCCTTCGATGTGCTCCGTCATTAACGATGGACTCTGAAATCACAGGAATTGTGAACGGAATTGCAGTAATTCTCAGCATTTGCGAGAACACCTTGAAGATGCTCCCTTTGCTTCTCAGCTGGGATAAGGAAATAAGAAATGGAAGAAATTCCAAGGTGAATAGATGTGTCTGGTTAGAAGTGGGTGGTCAGAGGCAAAGCACAAAAAATCTGACAATTTATGATGACGCTGCAGGAAAACGGAATTCCGGTAGAGAAGACCACAAAAATTCTAAAAGACTTTTTTCACAACAGCGGCCCTGTAACACATCATGAGCATGCATCTGCAAATGTCTACCGTCAGTAACTACTGTGGCCTTTTTCTGGCTCTTGATGAGAGCTAGAGTGCTAGGTTCACTGGATTAGTCCAAGTGATTAAATATCCATATCAAAATTTTTATGGATATACAATTACTTTGACTGAATTGTCGAACACCTACTTTTCCTTAAAGTAGCCTTTCCACACTGAAGGCCACGGCACGGAGTCGGTTTTTCGAGGCATTCTAATTGACTCCGTAGGCGTGTATCTAGACATTTAAGATGACTGAAGGTCCTATATTCATAAGCCTCACCTGTTTCCCTTGCATATTTATTTATTAAGTCCTGCGTGCCATTTCACCCGTCTACACTGAAATGGACAACGACAGCAGTAATTGCTGTAAGCCTGGAACAGCTCAGTCATTCCCATTTCGGACAACTAACTGATCTTTAACCTACAAGGAGGGCTAGCACAGAAGCGTGAATAGAATGCTGGGGATATCGAAGGGGATTCTTCTAGCGGATCTAGGCCCAAACCAGTCATCCATCTGTGGGCAGATATTTGGTTCTAGACTCGTTTGAGAGGAAAAAGCACTCAATCCACATGGGTAACGGAACTTTCCCCTATCGCGGCATTCTCCCTTGCGGCATGGGGCAAATCTCACTGCAATTACCGTACTCACCCCGCTTCCCCGCCAATCGATAGGACGCGATATTTTTCCTTGACTGGCTTGCTTTTTCATTCGATTTTGTCGTTTTTCCTTCTGTTTCTTTTTAGTTTTCATGTTTATTAGACTTGATTAATTAAGATGACTCCTCCTATGTAAGCGGCGATCAAGACTGCATTGAAATTGAAGGGAGCGGNCCCCGCTTCCCCGCCAATCGATAGGACGCGATATTTTTCCTTGACTGGCTTGCTTTTTCATTCGATTTTGTCGTTTTTCCTTCTGTTTCTTTTTAGTTTTCATGTTTATTAGACTTGATTAATTAAGATGACTCCTCCTATGTAAGCGGCGATCAAGACTGCATTGAAATTGAAGGGAGCGGCTAGCCAATTCAAATAATTAAAGGGCTCCCTACCTCACAAATTGCGCGCTCCAACTTCCATCGCAATTATGCGGTTGGCGGCGGGTGCGGCGTGTGCGACGCCGTGTTAGGGGAGAAGTTCCCGGACCCAATCTACATTGGCTTGCCACCGCAGGTACTGTACGAGCCACATACGCATTCATAGCGTTACGGTAATGAGTTAAAGCCAATAGCTGAGGCGCATTCTGAAAATGAAAGCGACGACTTTGCCTTTTGCCTTTGACCTTCTCTAAGGTTTGCATAAGGTTTGCAATTGCTGCCAGCTGTTGAGGCAACTACTGGCATTAGGTTAATCAGATCACTGGAATGGGTGCAATGCAATGAAGTCATTTGATGAAGAATGAAATGGGAGTTGTTCGATACACTAATTTTGAATGAGCAATACTTGTAAGTCTTTGAGTTTAGGTGCTCCACCTGAAGTGAAGCCCGATGACGGAAGTGAAGCATGCAGTGATTTAGCAGCATATGATAAAAAAACAAAAAAGTGCAAATGTGGCAAAGGATACTACGATATGGCTGACCAAAAATTGTTCTTAAGAAGAAAAAGCGACGCTAGTATTCCAGTGAAGTTGAAGTTCTTCTTTGAATTTTTTCTTTTTCTTCATGGCTTCTTTCAAATTTTCGACATTTTCGTCATCAATTTTTTCCCTTATGCCAATGTAGAAAATTGCTAGAATTCGAACTGCTGGAGTTCATGGGCATAGGTTGAAATGATGTGCACACAACTCATACTTTTCAACAAGCCTATGAGGGACGTATTCGAACATGACGTTTAAGGAAAAAATCGGTGAGGGCACTGGAAGGGAATTGCTGATTATACTCATGAAAAACAGAAAGGAATTTGGGAAACTAGTAAGGTTTTTATGGTAACGCATCCACGAATGCATCCTATTTTTGTTATTCAAATAATTATGTAAACTAGAGAGAAGGGACAAGGTGTCGCGCATGACCGCGACCCCGCGACCTCTGTTGAAAGATATTTTTTTTGTGGCCGACTACCCAGATGTGTGGAGGTCGGAGCAGAGGCGCGACCCGCTTAAGCACCAGTTCGCATAGGGAGAAACTGACGAGAGGCGGTCGTCCTCGAACACCTATTGTCGTCGTATTCTGTTCAATAAAAATTACACTGAACCACTGTTTCAAATAGGGGATACACTCCCAGTGGCTGGAATATAAATTACCGCCACACAATTATTACAACGACGACGTGTGTGTCTAGGCCCAAACCGTGACTGCTAACAAAACGAACTTTTTTCCACTTGAAATGTACGGCGGAACTTTCCACGTCATTCATTATTTGGACGTTCAGTTACTGACAAAGAAGCTCTCAAAGCATTACCATTAGCAGCAATCTATAGTCTCTAAGAAGACTGCATGAAGTGTTGTCGCCTAGAAAAGTGACCCATACAGGCTCGAAAAGAGCTGGGAAAATTATATCCACCTCAATAATCATAAAAAGGACAAGTGTGAAGGCCTGTACAGGCTGCTCCATTTGTCACCCAGACTCAGAAACACTAGTACGAAAAGAACATATTAGGTTGGGCGTGAAAGTGCCTCACTCGGTCCCGTGAATAAGGTCCCCACTTCGGTTCATATCATGTCCGGCCTATTTTGCTTGCAACCATGTAATGGCTGAGCTTTGATAACTAAATCCACTACAACTTATTGTATGGCTATTTCGAGCGCTTCTGTAAACAACTCGTTTCATGGCAGGAAAACGTCGAAGATGATACTCGATTTGGTCAACCGATTACGATATCATGAAGGTACTGATGAGTATTCTCATTCGAAAGCGTAATGCCCTTTTATAGTAGTTCTGTTCTGAAGCTTCTAGAAAATTCTGAGATGAATCTGGACTACTGCGAATTTTCGAAGTCATTGTATTGGGTTGGGAGATAAGTCCTGCAACACTGAACATGTTCCTCTAGGAGGAAACCTAAGCACTTTTCAGTTTTTTACGGCAGACTGCTTTAAACCGTTTCTGGATGATTTCGAAAATGGATATAAAAGGGCTTCGTGAAGTGGTTTCTCACTACGCCCGTCTGAAGACGAGTAGGACGCACGTGGCTGAATCTCTCCTGCATCTTCCCCATCCAAAGGACTTATTTCGAGACATAGCGACTGGAGAAGAGAGCTGGGTGCTTGTGACCCATACACGTGAGCGCCACTGGATTGGAGAGGAGAAAAGCCAGCCACGGAGCCTAAAATAAACTTCCATAACAAACAGGTTTTACTGTGTTGCTGGTGAGACTGCGGTGGAATAATCTACTGGGAGCTGTTAAACAGCAGCACTACAGTGAAGGCCACAGCCTACGCTAACGAGCTAGTGGGCGAAGTAATGCGAGAGCTTCGCCCGAAAAGACCCAATGTCTTCCTACTCCACGATAAGGCACGCCTGCATGTGGCCAACGAAACGCGTCAAAAAATTATGGAGCTCGGATGGGAAGTACTGCCGCACCTGGCTTGCTCAACAGACCTAGCGCCTTGTGATTATCATCAATTCAAAGCACTTCGGTGATCGTCATGCCCTCAAAAATGAAATCGACCACTTCTTTTCGTCGCAGCCACCGAGATTCTGGAAGAGAGGGACCAAGAATCTGCCTCAAAGATGGGCAATTGTTTCGTCGCAGCCACCGGGATTCTGGAAGAGAGGGATCAAGAATCTGCCTCAAAAATGGGCAATTGTCCCAGATAGTAATGGTGATTATATTGCGGATTGAGGGTCTTGTTCAACGAAGAAATATAAAATTTAAAAACTTTCCAAAGTGTTGCAGCACTTCCAAACTAATACTAACCTGTACTATATAGATTCACTAGCTCAGCTAGTTCTACAGCGCATACTGGTAGGTATGACTGTGTAGGGACATAGAGGTACGGCGGGCTGGTCTTCACTGAGAAATGCTTATTTGATTTAACAAACCTTTTGTTACCTGAGGAATATGTAGTATCAAAAAAACGTAAGTTGACTCGAACCCTGCGGGCAAGGCAATTCTCTTTATACCTATATGCTCAAGCTTTATAACTTTATCTGCTCAATCGAGTGAGTTTCAGGGTGTACATTGCTTCAACTGCAAGAAAGCAAAAGAAATTGCTGTATATGTCTTGTTAGACAGTACCGACAAATTTGTACGTTTTTTTTTGTAAATCCTTCATTTTCTTTTTTGCATTTGTATTCTTATGACTTGATTGGAGAGAAGTTCTTGAAATGGTTTTTACATTACTCCTAAATAAGAAGGTTTCAATAATAAATGCCCTATTCAAAACATCATTCGCGTTTTAATCTAAGGTATCGTAGGTGTCGTGGTGTAAGTGGCGTACAATGGACCATCAGACTTCAGACTTCAACGACCGACCTACACCGTTCCTGGCCAGGCGTTGACAGCGCTGTACACCGATGGATAACGCACGTCGCAGTGATCCAGGGTTATCAACGCTAGGCCAAACGCTGTCAGTCAGTCCCTGTCGTTTGGAACTCCACCCAGATTCGGTCACAATACTATTCCTTATCATTTTATCCTTATCAGGTACCATGTAGGGCGATACTCGGACACATTCAATTAAAAGGTGACAGGTAAATACCCCAAACCTGCCAATTGATGCGACGTTTATTAAGGGAAGACTAATGTTAGAATGCTGGAAATATTCCTTTGCATACCATCATGCATCTCTGATGATGTCACTTATCAACAAAGGAGACAAACTTCAACGTGTCTTTAATGATTTCCATCGTGTAGAAGCACAGGGTGGATTCAATGAGTTGTAAGTTCCCTCGGCTATTCAGTGTGTAGACAGCTCAGATAGCTCACAATACAATACAATAAACTGTGTTTTTCAAGGAATGGCATCAGTACTGACACGGGTAAGAAGACGATCACACAATCAGTGACAGAGGCTTACACAATGCTGGCTGTAAGTGAACATTTCGCTTAATGACTGTGATAGACGGCCTGAATATGGCAAGTAACGCAGTCTCCACGCCGATTCGGGTTAAGCGACTGCAATGGCACTTCCATATTCAGAGCTGATCGCGATCGCTTTGTTTTTGAAATGTTCGTTCTTTAAAGGCACAGTTCACGATAATTTTGAGGTGCTCCTTTTCAGTGGGAAAGTGAATGTATAAGTTGGGGGTAGTTCGTGGGTAGTGAAGAAAACGAGAAAATTCGGCGACTTAGAGGAAAATAATGCTCCTCAAAAGTAGGAAGAATAGAGGTTGGACGAGATCACCATGACGGAAATAACATGGAAGGGGGTACTCGGACGAGATTTCGGTTGTTGCAATTGCGCAAGAAGCTGACTACATCAAGGCAGAACTGTACAGAACTGCCTTTCACTGCCGCTATTGGTCATAAAAAATGTTTGAACTTCCTATACGTGTTCCTTTGTGACTTGTGCAGCCTCTACAGTGCCGGTGAAACTCGTCCGAGGATACACACGAACCAATCTTTGAGTCCTTATAACGCCCCAACTAGGTCGTTTCCCGACATGATAGCGGCAGATATGGTATAAGAGGAGGTCTCAAATCCATCCTATTGAGAAATCTCAGAAACCACTTCTATCGTGAACTGTGCCTTCGAAAGACTACTCGTCGTGGAGGTGAGAGGTGAGGCGCATTACCAGGCTTGCCAACAAGAAACCAGGGACCACGCTTTAGCCTTGTTCAGGAGCAAATTAAACGAATCAAATCGATTCAATGACTGTATCATATAAATCCATTTGATAGTGTTTACTTGAGCTGGTCTGATGTAGAGTAAAGTGGGTGTACTATCGCACACCCATGACCCCTAAACAAATTACGGATAGGTCCGTAGCCAAACAGGGCTTCCCAGGATTGCCAAGGTCGGTTTATTGATAACAAACTCGTCTGGGAAGATAGAAACTTTGTACTCCACATCGGCAGGCCACTGTAGATCCTTGTATAGGCCATATACGTATTCGCAATGCCATTACGATCCTGAACAAAAGTCAAGTGCTTGGCGCATCCCAAAACGGAATTAATGGAAGCCAAAAACCTGTTTTTTTTGTCATTCGTTTATAAAAGAATAGCCCATAAAGGTTAAAAGTAGTTTCCATCAAAGTTTGTACTATTTTACTGTTTTGCGCCTTCGTACAGCCATTTCCAACATACTTCCTTTTGATATGTGTTCTCCTTGTTTTCTTATTAAGCTTCTTTCGGCTCCTACGGGTGCGCTCCGTTGCGCACGTCCGTCGAAACTAGTCAAGCCGCAGCCGTCGCACGCGGCGGGTTAGCCCGCGATACTTGACGGGCGTCGCAGTTGTCAGTGGGGCTTACAATTTGCGCTTGCTCCACGGTAGTCGGTTAAGAGAGAAGATAACACATACAAATGCAAATCATTCGCTCCACTGGCATTCGGTGGTACTGTAGTGCCATCTCGAGACCCCATCGTCAGTGTGGTGCACCGAGCGCGAAGTGGGCGGGGTGACCTACTCTCGACGGACGCGCGCAACGGACGTTCTCCCTTCAGAGGTGTAGGTGCCAGTCAAATTAGTGCTAAACTGAAGGACTTATATGCCGTGCAGCCCAAACTTTGACAACTAGTAAACTATGCCCTACCATTTTCTGTAGCTACTGAACTTAGACCACGATCGAGTGGGGAGGGGTAGGTTGGGGGGGGGGGGGGGNGCATAAAAGCTGTTGCGTGTACGCGAAACTGAGGAACATTGGCTGAGCAGGTTTCTTTGAATCCCATCAAATTCGAATCCCAACGTCGAAAGCTCGAACATCAAAAGGTCATACGGGAATGGCACCCACCGGGAAGCACTTGTCAAGCGTACATATGATAACAGGTAGCGTAGAAATTTTAACACTTGGAAAAGTAGCTAGCGGACGCATATGCTTTGTGGTAAGCATGGTTGAAGATGGAGTTAGTCCCACGATTGTTTGTATTGGTCTGAAAATCATATTGAGAAGTGTCTGTTGAAAACAACAGTTCCGTAAGCCCACGCTCTTTTTCATCTCCTATTCCAGAGAATATTGCTGAGCTTATGTATAAGAGTGAGCAGCCGAGTGGCCAGCCCTAAGACATTGCTACGATCGCAGGTATGCACGCGGCAGATGTTTCTGAGCAATCAACGTAATCACCCCTACATTCATTATAATCTTACCCCTGTGCTGCCCGTTTGCACTGCATTTTGCTGGATCTTGCTCTGATCGAGCACAAGATCTTATACAGCCTCTACCACAAATACTGCAACGGCACAGGTAGAAAAGCAAGAAATCAAGCAAGAAGAACAGGAACATCCTCCAAGAGATACCATGAATGGACAGGCCAATAAACGGACGATACTCGGAACAAAAGAGTGATATTAAGCGTAAATAGATTGCTGCGATGAAAAAGACCTGGAATCCTCTTTAAAGTAACCTGGCAGAAAGACGTAAAGTGGTGATTGATGTGGTGCTGAACTGTGATTGAGGTTCAAGGACGCCTAGCTAGGGATAGATTGAGGATTGAGTTTTTAACCTATCCGAAATTGTTCTTTCAATCAATAAGAGATTTTGCAGAAGAATCGAAGTTATCGCAAGCTTCTGATATTGCTATTGGACCAAGTACCTTCAGATGCTTCTGCAGCATCAAAGAAGCTCACGGAATTGAAGGTCGGTCAATATTTTTGTGTTGAACCATGTAATCGACCTTATTGCGGGCGATTTGAAACAGTTGAACGACGACGTGGCCTTGATATTTTGTTATGTTTCATAGGATCAGACGGGTGATAGAGTAGGTTGGTAAGAAAATGAACAGTGAATGCAGTGAGAAAGGGAGTACCATATAGAGAAAATTAGAAATTTAGTTCAATCTTTGCTTATAAATTTCAGGAAAGCAACTTGGACAAGCACGTAGAAGTTTTCGTGGCTCTAGCCAGTGGCGACACCAAATCCTTGACAGATATGTCTTCAACAGGAAACGTGTACAAGATACCGTCGGATCATCCAGGGCAATGTGTAAGTTTTTCAAGCATAGGACATGAATTCTTTTATAGGAGCGCATGCTGCGAAAACTTCCTTCAACTAAAAAAAAGTAAGTAGCAGATTGTTAGCCCCCAAATTTGAGGCCTGAGATGCCGGATACTTTAGAAATTTTGATTATGCTGAAGTTACCTCATTTTTCTCGCCTTCAATCAAGTCCAACAATCTTTTTTGCAGGGACTGGGAACAAAGGTCGTGAGTGAAATGTTGCGTCTACTTTGCTTGCATTGATATGGCTTCCTTGTTGTAGGGTGTTCTGAATTTGAATCTGTCACCAAAACTCCATTAATATCTTTATCAACTTGTTAATAAAGAGTGGGATTATGTGCTGTCAAATGATTCGTGTTGGAAGTGTAGTAATTTAGTCGAGATCGATACCGTTTTAGACGGTTAGATCGCACTTGAGGATTGTCGTTTAAAATGAAGTTACATGTATTCCACGTAGAGTTTGGAGCCAGCAACACTGCTTACTGCTCACTTTTCGAAGACACAGTTCACAATAATTCTGAGCGCCCGTTTTATTCGAGAAGCGGAAGTGTAGATTGGGGATAGTTCATTGGTAGTGAGAAAAGCGAGAGGATTCGCCGATTTCGGGATAAACATGGCTTCTCAGAACAAGGGAAAGTAGAGGTTGGACGGGATTGCCATGAGGACGAGATTTCAGTAATCGCGATTGTGCAAAGAGCTGACTACATCAAGTCAGAACTGTACAGAATTGTCTTTCACTGTCGTTAGGTCATTACAAGTTGTTTGAACTTCCTAAATGGGTTCCCTTGTGATCGGTGCAACCTACAATGCCGGTGAAACTCGTCCGGGAATACACAAAAACCAATCTTTGAGCCTATATAACTCCCTAACGAAGCCGTTTTCCGACCTAATATGTAGTGCCAGATATGGTATAGGCGGGAGCTTCGGGAGCCTCAAATTCAACCTGTGGGAGAAACTCATGAACCATTTTTATCGTGAACTGTGCCTTTAACTTTATTGCGATTAGTGTTCCCATAGGTTAGGTCGGTGAGAGAGCTTCAAGACACAAATTTACATGAATATATGTCCCTGCTATACGGATCCTGAACCATCACTATAGTCTGAACCATTCTCAGAGTTGCCGCCAGTATTATTCAAGTTGGTCTCTGAACGCTTTCCTTGTAGACCACAACTGTCAAGAGATCAAGTTCGAGCAATGTTCTCCTATGAGCCCCAGTGCTCTTGTCTTCAACAGTCTCCAACAAAGCATTCGGATATGAGCTCGTCAGCCTAGCATTAGTTGTCTGATTGCTTGCTGTCAGTTTGGATCTACGATGGTCCTCACTGCAGAAGATTGGTTGCTATCAAAGATAAGCGATTCTGAACAAAGTGAAGAAGAAGCCAAAGGTTTTGACTACGCACAGGGACAGGTGAAGTTTCTCGAACACGATCATTGCACCAATTTACAATCGACGATCACTGTACGTGGGCCTTTCGGGTATGGGTACTTACGTGCGTCCGAGGATGCGCGCGGCAAATTGCGCGGCGAAGTGCGTGGTGATTCGAACGGCTCTGGCGCCTATCAATGAGGCTCAAATTTGAAGTAGAGTAGATCAGTAGTATCAGCTAACCCTACTAATATACTGTACTTCAAATTTGGNCCAAATTTGAAGTACAGTAGATCAGTAGTATCAGCTAACCCTACTAATATACTGTACTTCAAATTTGGGCCCCAATGATAGGCACCAGAGTCCTTCAGACCTCCACGCACTTCGCCGCGCAAGTTGCCGCGCGCATCCTCGGACGCACGTAAGTTCCGTCCCCCGGGCCTTTCAGCCCATTGCAATCCCCCTTCCTCATTGCCGATTCTGCAGAATCTGGAGAAGGTGAGTGAGAGTTGGACCATCTTTTAAGGGGGTTATTGTCTGGCTTTCAAAAAGATAGACGTGTCGTGCCATATTGTTTATGACAGGAGAAAGATAAAACCGTGAGTCTCTCAGAACAAGGTCAGGCAACGATCAGTGAGGTTCGTTCCAAATTTATCTCCTGTTTGGGAAGACAGTGAAGAGACTAAGGCTCCTTTTTAGTACAGAAAAATCATAAAACATCAGGATCAAATCTGCACATTCAAGAATGAGAGCCCAACATCACAGAAACCTCATAAGGCTCCACTCATAGTTTTTAATAGAACTAATCAGAACTCTACAAAGTGTATGGAATCATACGTCATTGACATAGGCTTCAATCATGAAATTTGTCATCAGATAATTATCAAATATTGCTGAACTTCTTCTGCCAATCGAGATAATGTTATCATTCTACTATACAGTAGCGCTAAATATTCTTCGGCCAAATGCTTCTTCAGATGTACTTTTTAGTCGTAACTCCTTTCCTACTTGATGTAATCATGCGAAATTTTACTATGTGTAGCATGAGTGTATTGTGAATATTTACCACTATTAACCTGCAATCTGGTCATGTTCCTGATATCCGAAAGGGCTTGGACTCAGAATCAACTGGAAATGCATAGGAATGATGGTACTTTTAGAATTCCTTTACTTTATGCCATTCTAAGGTACAAGAGCGCTAATGCCAAACAAAATAGATGAGAAAAACGCACATAAAGTGAAGACGTCATTAGCTTTGCGTTTAGCGAAATCTGCTTTCGCAACAAACACCTTGCTCTGGTTATGTGGATACCAGTTGGTTAGCCCGGCTGACGCCGGGCTTTCATCCTTCTTCGACAAAGTTGAAGTAATCATCTAACTTCCTCCCGTTCTATTTTCCTGTCCGATACAGGACTAATAGGGCAGTGCATATTGTATACAGTGTAAGTCGGTACTTACATTTCTAATTGGAAGTCTGTTCTCGTTTTTGGAAATAAATACACATTAAAGATTGAACTAGTAGGCACCCAAAGCTTTGTGCGTACTCACAAATATTCCGAGTGATAACACCAATATCAGATGTCTTTACCAAGGAACCTTTTCTATACAGAGATATCATTAGTTGAGTATTCCAGATTACTGGCGGTCGATTAAGTTTTGTCGCAAATCATAGCGAACAAAGAGGATCTTCACTGAGTCGCAAACCTTGCTGGGTAGCGGTCGTATTCTAATACTTATTCTAATAGCAAGAAATGAGCAAAATCTCATCTACTCATCGTATTCCCCCTAATGGGCCATTATCACTGCACCTACCGCTCACTTTTGTCACCCTGCTTTAGTGTCTCGTCTTATCGAATGAAACATACCAAAGCTACATCAATTTCAATCGGTAGGTAGCTCTTGCTCTCTTAGGCCCCTTATCTTCTCTTATCAATTTTCTTCGGTTCCTGACACCGGGTATCTACAATCCGCGTCATATCCTACATCGCTTGGCAAAATGCCGGGGTTCCGCTGTTGATACGAAAAGCTGTAATCCTACGGAATTCGAACCTTCACGTTCACGGGAACAGGAATTATGAAGCTTCGCTCAATCATTTACTTCGCGCAAACCCCGACCCCTGTAGGCGAAGCCCGGCTTTGCTACCTGTCATGAGTAATCCCGTCCCGCCGGCTGTACTTCCACCAAATTCCAACCTCTAGGTCCTCGTAAACAGGAATAATGAATTTATGATCGAAAAGCTATCGCGCATGCCCCGCCCCTGTGGGTGGAGTCGTGTCCTATTACCTGCCATGGGTGTTCCCATCATGCCGCCTGTTTTCCTACCAAATTTGAACGCTCCAGGTCGACGGGTACAGGAGTTATGAAGTGCGATTAAACACACACCGACACACAGACACGAACACACACAAACAAACCGAGAAACCAACAGACATCAAACAGATGACTGCTGTCACGGCTGGCACACGGTGAATACCCGTTCTTCCTTCCAAAATTTAGTTTTGAGGCAATAGATGTACCGCTTTCGTGCTGTTCAGTAGGGCTCTGGAATTGATTGGTCGCAGAACAAGTTGCAAAGTACAGTTACGGTAGCAGAGTGAATATCATTGTCTTTGATACTTTGTGGTGTTATCGTATGTCTCACAGCACCCAGCACACGTGAGGCGGTCGTTTGGCGCACCCAGCACACGTGAGGCTCCCATCGCGCCGCCCATTCGACGCGGATTGCAAGCTGGACAACTCGTATTCTGTTTTATTGTGCCTGTCTACTTAGTCTATTTGGCTTTTTCATGGTGCTTGGACGAGTTATCCAGCTTGCAGACCGTGCCCAATTGGCGGTGCGATGGGAGGGATCGCGCAAACGGCATACACCCCCCCCCCCCCCCCCCCCCAGCACACAGTGGTGGTTCATTCGAACAGGGCAAATGGCTCAGATGTGAACACGTGATCGACCGCTAAGCGGCTACTTTTTAGTACTCTGTAAGTGATTGTTTTGATTTATTGCTATGTTTTGTTTTGAAACTGTCGTTATCAAAGAAAACACGAGAAGTATGAGTGAGGTAGGATCCAGTTTGCTTTGCATCCTGCTGTGGAACCTTGTAATCGGGTAATGTTCTTTATACATTGTCTTCTACTATGATTCCATCAGATAAATGTTCAAACTGAGCGTCCGTTCATGTGAACCTGAGCATCTGTTCATTCCATCGATGTTAAGTGTGAGTAAAGTTACACTTCCAGGTCACAGGTATACCTTACGAAAGCAAACCAGTCGAGTTTTTCTCGAATCCAGTGAAGAGCGTATAGCAATGATTTTGAGCCTACCTGACTTAGTACTCAGCCGAAATGAACGGGAAGTTCTGAAGTGTTCAGTCCCGACGCTTAGTCAGTGTATGCAA